TCCTGGAGAAGAAAAATATTTCTAGCTTTTTGCTGGGGTCAGGAATATGCTGAAACTGTGCAGAATATGGGAGAAAAATCTCAGGATCTAACATTTGTTGGCTACTTACTATATTCTGAGGTGAAGTAGGAAATGGCCACTACCGGCAGGAGAATCATAGGAGCAGGGATCCTGAAGCCAAAAACAGCATGAGTCATAACTGGAACCAGATCTTGAAGGGGCTTGTCAAGGTATGCCCTTCTCCCAAAGTAGGAAATATGATTCATTATTAGTTAATTTACTTTTAAATTGATAAGAACAGATACTATACTTGATCTTAGCCAAAAGGCCGAGAAGTGATTAACTGACTTTTAAATTGTTCTCTTCATTTTATTCCTACTTCCAGAGGAGTTCGATATCACTGGTTGTTGAGAATTGGTGACATTCTGTGTTATAAATTGGTTACTCTTTGCTTTCTCTACTGTTGATTCAGCTATTAGTTGCTCATCTATTTTCCCAGTTCCAAATTTAAAAAGTTTAAACAAGAGAATTTAAGTAGTCTCTTCATTGTTGTATTAATGAGGTAAGAGTGAGATTAGTTGCAAATATTCAAACTACTATCTATACTGAATGGCCTATAGGACATTTAAAATCTCAGGACAGCAGAAACTAGGAATCCTACACAGTATTAAGCTAATATTTTAGATTAAAGTGGTTCCAGTTTGATAGTGTCTTCATATTTCTGGCAGAAATAATAGAGGAGGAACCCATTTTCTACCCAGGCCCCAAAATATTACAACAGATAAAGTTCCAAGGAATGTGTTCAGACTCAGAGGTTGCCACACACTCTCCAGGAAATGGAACACAATGAAAGAGAGTCATGAGAAGCAACAGAACAGTAGGAAATTCAAAGGTCTCAGATTTTGAAGTTATCAGACACAGAATGTTATGTAAATAAGTTTAATATGTTGGAAGAAAAGGACATGAAGAAAATAAATAGCCAAGAGATTGTGAAAATGAAAAAAATCCACCATACGGTAATGGAAAAATACAATAAATATTCAATTTTTAAAAAGCCATTTTCAAAAAAGACCAAATGGAACTTTTAGAAATGAAAAATATAGTAATTGAAAGAAACTCAGACTGGATTAACAGGACACTAAGCACAGCTGAAGAGGCACATAGTTAATTGGACAGTAGATCTTAGAAAATGATCCAGAATACAGTGTCATGAGACAGAGAGCTCCAGAAGGAGAGGTGAGAGAAAATGGTAAGAAGACAATATTTGAAGAATCACTGAGAATTTCTCAAAGTTAGTAGGATGCCTTGTGGTTCTAAAATTCCAGCGAAGCTCCACAGGTTATGAAAGAAAAAGAGGATGAAGAACTATACATGCAGGCATGGCGTAAAGTTTGGTATTGCAAAATACCGAAAACAAAGAGATTTTAAAAGCAGCCAGGGAGAAGACAGGCTACCAATTCCCCAAAACAGTGATTCTGTTGACACCTGACTTCTTAATAACAATAATGGAGCTTAGAAGACAGTGAAATGCTACTGTTAGTGTGCTGGGAAAAGATAGCTGTCAGTGTAGAATTCTATTCCCAATAAAATCATCTTTCCAGAATGAGAGCAAAATAAAAACTTTCCAGTCAAATAAACCAATTATACTTGCTACTAATAGACTCTCAATAAAGGAAATTCTAAAGGATTAACATCAGACTGAAGGTAACATCATAAATAAATTGAAATGGAAATTAGGAAAATTTAAAAACTGAATCACATCACATATCAAAACCTATGAGATTTTATTAAAGAGATACCTGGAAGAAAATTTATAACCCTAAATGCTTATGTTAGAAAAGAAGAAAACCTGGAAATAAATGAGATAAGTAACCAATTTAAACCAGAAAAAGAACATTAAGATAAGCCCAAAGAAAATAAATGGAAGGAGATGGGCAGACATCAATGAAACAGAGAGCCAAGCATACAATACACAGGCTCAAAAACATTAAAAGTTAGTTCTTTGAAAAGAGTAATACAACTGACAAGTGCCAGGCAAAATTAATTAGGAAAAACTAGAGTGATGATACAAATAGAATTAAGAATGAAAAAATAAAATTACATATGCAGAGATTAAGATGATAAGAGGGCATTAATTAACAACTTTACAGCAATAAATGTGAAAATTTAGGCAAAATGAATAAATGTACAGAAAAAAATTATCAAAACTAACTTAAGAATTAGAAAGTTTGAATAATACTGTAACAAAGTGAAATCATTAAAAATTTTGTTTCAGGAACATGTGTAAAGGACCCGTGGACAAAGACAACCCGGGGAGGGGGGTAGGATTGAAAGTGGAAGGGGGGTTAGAGTAATGGAGGAAAATGGGGACAAATGTAATTGAACAACAATAAAAATTTTTTTAAATAAAACTTTTGTTTCAAAGAAAATTTCAGGTCCAGATGATTCTGGTGACATTCAACAACAAAAATTTCCAATCTTATACAATCTATTCCAGAGTATAGATGGGGAAGCATTCTCCAGCCGAATCGAAGCATTCAGACCAGATGAGTAAGGAAACTCACTTGTCAAGCTTACAAATACAGTTGCAGAAATCCTAAACAATATATTAGCCAACAGAATCTATCAGTTGGGATTTTCCTAGGTCTGCAAGGGTGGGTTAGTATTTAAAAAACTCATAATTTATCATGGTAGCAAATTATAAGGAAAAAAATTATACCATCATCTCAGTGGATGGCAGCTTTGGTTAAAACTCAACAAATTATCATAAAAAAAAACAAAATAAAAATGGGAATTTTTATAATCCATCAAAGGGCATCTACAACAAACCTAAAGCAAATACCACACTTAATGGTGAAATAGTGAAAACCTTATCTTTGAGGTCAAGAAGACAGGAATGCCCTTACCACCATTGGAATTCAACTTTATGGTAGATGTTCTAGCCAGGTAAGTAAGAAAAAAACCCCCAAAATAGATAAAGGTACTGAAAAGAGGAAACAAAATTAAATATTTGTAGATGATATAATTTTTTTCAAATGTATATTTAGAATTATGATCTTTTACCGAAGTAGGGCATTTGTTTTTTAAAATTAAATAATGGTAAAAATGAAATTAGACATGAATCTGGATGTAGGTCTTGTTTCTAGTAACTCTCAGAGTGGTAAGCAGGGACTGTCAGGCACTGGATTGTTTCTTGTCTCTCAGAGATCACTGTCTTTTGTTGCCTGATTTCTGAGTGCCTTGAAAACTGTTATTTTATGTTTTGTTCTCTTGTCTTAAAGTGTTGTTTCTTATTAAAAAATGTGTTAATTTTTGGCTATTTCAAATGGGAGGGTAAATCTGCTCTCTATTACTCTATCTTGACTGGAAGCAGAAATCAATTTAATTAAATGGCGTTATTTCTTAGTCTTCTTTTGTTAATAAAGGGTTATTTTAACAAATACTTTATCCTGGTGCAAAGCTTTTCCCTTGAAGCAGGTATAGATTTTTTGGTTTGTTTTCATTTTGTTTTTAAAGTAACTGGTAATTTAAAGGCTCAGACCCTGAAAACCTAAAGAGTAGAGGCCCTGAGGAGGATATTCCTGAGGCTTTTGTCATTCTCTGTTGCTATGTGCTTTGTTATTGAAGGCTGTTTAAGGTCTCATCACCTCTAGAGTTTTGACCAACTGATGTATTTCATAAATTTTAATGAAAGACAGATTGAGAGAAACCATTCACGGGCCCACACAGTTGTACCGTATTTGTGCACTGGCTCAGAATGAAAATCTCTCTGAAATTATTGAGTTACCTTTGTGGAAAGCCCCAAACTCCATTTTCTAGCTTGTCTGATCTAGCTGGGTCAAATCAAAAGTGATTTGCAAAACCTTCTGTGTTCTTGGCGCATTGCTATGATTTATTTTTAAGGCACAGAAAATTGTCTAAATATTAGCACACATTACAGATTTGCAAATAAACTATGTATAGTTATATTGAGCACACTGCGCTTTTCAATGGAGTTTGTAAAAAATGTGGTTTAACTTGCCAGTATGTGATAATAAACTTATTTCTTTGTGATTATGAGCTTTATAATTCAATAGCAGATGTTTATTTTCATTCAGCTACAATTCAGACAGTTTTGGCTTAACTAAAATTTCCTTTATATCTCACAAAATTAAAAAAAAGTTAGACTGAACATTTCTTTCAAAAGATCCTTCATATGGGCCGGCCACGTTATTTTAGAAACAGACTTAATTATCCAGATAATTAGGATTAGGGAGAGGAAAGGAAATTGAGATCTTTGAGGAATCCCTAAATACAATCTTATTCCATCACTTTCAGCCACCCCTGTTGCTGCCAGACCCACTCACTCACAGGTAGTCTTGTTGCCTCATTGGGATTCTGGCTCTTAGTTTCTGCAGCCTACTTGCTGAGCCAATGAGCAGTGTAATGGCCCAGAGCTAGGGGGGAAAAAAGGATCTAGATTATTTGAAACTTAAACATTAATAGCAAAATAATGAGTGATCGACTGTTTTTTCTGTGCTGGGCTCTGGTCTTTTGATTAAATGGTGTCTTTTCCTTACCATTTCACACCTTCTTAATCATAACAGCCTATATAAATACTTCCTATATAAATACTTGGATTTTGTGTAGCATGAAAATGGAAAGGATTAGAAAAAGCATGTACTCTTTTTAAAAGAAATTAAACCTTCAGGTGTATTTTGTTTAATTTTTATCCTCACCCAAGGACATTTTTTCATTGTTTTTTGAAAGGGAGGGAGGGAGAGACAGAAACAGAAACATCCATCGTCTGTCTTTTTGTACATGCCCAGACTGGGGATTGAACCTGCAGCCTTTCAGTCTACAGGACAAGGCTCCAACCAACTGAGCAACACCAACCAGGGAAAGCCTTCAGATGGCTTTTAAAAACTTAAACATGTTAGATACTATTGCTATTTCTAGTTAACAAGTAGAAAGGTGTTTTGCTTTTGGTGGTTCTTAACAGTATATGTTTTTCTTTTCAGCTATTAAGTCAGGATTGTTACCCCCACCGCCTGCGCTCCCTCCAAGACCTTGTCCATCACAGGTAGGAGATGGATGTTGATTTCTGTTAACTGTTGGGGAGCAGGGAAGTTGTCTTACCACTGTGCTTCCTTTGCAAGGTTGGATCACCGCAGAGCTGGCCGGTCACATTTCCAAGAGAGCAGAGGGTGGTTCAGTTTCTTCATATCTAGTCAGTTCCCTAACCTCATGTGGAAAAGGGAAAGTTTCCTCAGTAAGCGACCAAGCAAATGTGTACTAGTTCATGCTTGGCTAGGGTAGAGGGTTGCGTGCGATTTTCATACAGAGAAAGAGTAATAAACAGGGCTTCTCTCCAGTTGGGGGAAGGAGGCATGGTTTTTCTGTATAGCATGTGCAGTCTTGGTGCCTACTGTTTCATCAGTGTTTTAGGAGCTGTATTCATTCTGCATAAACTAAAAATAAATGCTTATCATCCTGGGGTTAGTGCTCTGGTTTGGGTCCATGGTGCTTTTCTTAGGATAGTATTTTCTCTTGGAACAATAAGCTGGAACAGCAGGAGTTGGGAAAGCATGTCACCAAAATCTCTCTCACCTGGGAATTTATTTGGCTTTATTTACGTGTGATACTCTGGCCTTACTCATCACTATTCTTTGTGGAGTTGAAAATGAGAAGCAAGCAGCAAATCTATGGAGTGTGGTAAAGGGTGCTACAGATCCTTCTTTCCATTAATTGCGGCTTAAGAAATTTTAAGAAGCTCTCTGACTTTTGGCAGCACATGTTAGGCAATTTCTCTGTAAGTGTTCTCAGTTTCTACCTTATTGCTCTGGGTGGTTCAGAGCACACCTTTGCATATGGAGCATCTCAGGACTCACAATCACTGAAACTGCTTTTAACATTTGCTTATCCTTTTAGAGAATTAGATGGTCTTTGGCATCCATTCAAACTTGAGATGTAAATACCGTGAGGTATTGACTTCCTTTTTTCAGTTTGAAGTGTAATAAAAAGCCCTGTTCTTCCTGACCACATACAAACAAGTGAGAACTCCTTTTCCAATACTCCAGCATTGTCTTTAAGGGATGTTGGTTAATCAGTCAATATGTATTTATTTAGTGTCTTCTATATATCTTAATGCCAAGCTTTAGCTCCATCTTAAGGCTTTTCCTGGTTATAATTCCTGATCGTTTAGTTATTAACTCTGTATATTGAGCATCTACTATAGAGCAGGCATTAAGCTAAGTGCTTTCAATGCATTCTTTCGTCTTCACAAAAATTCTACAGTGTAGCTACTAATATTATCCCTTTTATTTACAGATGAGGAAATTGAAGCATACAGGGGTTAAGTCAGTCACCCAAGGTGACATAGCTAGTAAGTAGTAGAACTAGTTCCCAAAATGAGATCCATCTCCTACAGGTCCCTCCCCTCCCCATCATTGGAGTCAGAATGTCTCTGTGTGCAGGAAGACAGTGATCCATTGCACTGACAATTGAGGCTTTCACCATGTCCCCTTAAGGAGCACCTAGGTGAGATGAGGCTCTGGATTTGCACCAACAGTAAACCTGGACTTTGTCACAGCAAAATTAGTGGGCATTCTGCCAGCTGCTGCTTTCAAACTGGGGCTTAGGAGCCACCTGGATGAATGAGTGGAAGACCTGTCTGAAAGGGCCTTTGTGACCAACCTCCTTATCTTTCTCCTGCTGTGCAAGAGCCAATAGTTACTTCCTGGTTGTGAAATGTACTGTTGCTATCAGCAGTCCTCATCTGAGCTGCTTTAGGTGGGCTTCCTGCCTGCTTTGGGGTTTAGTGATGGAGAATCTGACAGGAACTGGGAATTCTCAAGTCACTGTTAATGTATGAGACTGCTTCTTTGTCTACCAGATTTCCCATCACAGTGCAAACAGTGAGCCCAGCGCTCAACCCAAGCCTTCAACTCAGCTGCCTAACTATGGAGATCTTAGACTACAGAAACAGGTGTGTAAGGCATGCAGGCAGAAAGCCCCATGTCATTTCCCTCCCCCGACTCTCCACCTTTTGTTCACTGTAAGTGGGGCACACACATTCAAAAGAGGAGGTCCTGTGTAATAAGCACACAATTGTCTTTACTCTTTGTGCCAAGTTCAATTCTGAATATTGGCCCCAGGAAAAACTCACCTAACCACCTGTATGGGGCACCTGTGTATTCCTCTCTTCCATAAGTTACTTGTGATGAAACAGTCTTTTGGGAAATGTTACTGGGGCTCTGTGGTAAGACGCATTTGCAGGCTCCTGGGAGACTCCTGCTCTGGGAGATTCCCAGTACATATGAGCCCATGAAAAGCTTTGAAGTTCTACAGTAAAGAAACCTGGTCAATTTTGTTAAAGCTGGCAATTTCCTAGCTTGTGTGACCATTCATCTCTTTATTTATAAAATACCTATTAATATCCGGAGGACTTAGTGGTTAGGAAACATTATTATACACCAGCCTTAAGGTATTGGTAAGAACATTTCCAAACCTCTTTCATCTGTCACCTCATCTCTATATTATGTGATTAAAGTTAAAATTTTATATCTTATGCCAGTAGTTTTTTCTGGAAGAGCTGAAAATGAAAAAGAAAGTTTACTACACATTAGCTTGGAATTTCAAATTTTTGTTTTCAGTTTGTTGTGTTTTTTTTCCTCGCTTTTCTGTTCCTTCTTGTTTTCTTGTGAGGTCATTTTTATCACTAAACACTCTGTATTCTTTGCAGTTAAATTTTTTTTGAATGATCCTTTGTATATATGGACAGTCTTCCTGGCTTTGGGAAAAATGTATATAGCAGGATATACAGGGCGGGGCAAAAATAGTTTACAGTTATTTGTATGGAAAATAATACACTAATTAAGAAATAATAATACATGAATAAACTGTTTCGTGTACTCATAACTTCAAACTACTTTTGCCCCACCCTGTACTTAACTGCAGAGATTTCGTTTATAGGGCTTAAACTGTAGTACTTAGGGTAGAGACCAGGAAGCCTGGTATAATTAAAATCATTATATTTATTAGTAGTTCTAAGAAGAGATTAACAGAAAATGTTTTTGGATTATTATTGGATTTAAAATTTTCATGTTACTTGTGAAATGGGCAAAACTAGATTATAATAAACAAGAAAACATTTTATTCTCTAGAAAGGAACACTTTTAAAAACTATGTGGACAATCAGTCATGTACTTTCAGCTTTTAAGTATATAAGGGAAAAGAATTTGTATGTTTGCAGCTATGCACACAAAGGTATATTTTTATCATTTCTACGTATACCAAAAGTATATCTCTACTGTTATCAAGTGAGAGAGATGAGGTATAGGTTTTCAGCATAAAACACCATTTATCTGGCCTCTACTTATACCAAACACCACTGTAATATGAACATCTGGATTAAGTTATACAAATGGGGCCCTGGAGTTAGGAAAAGGAATAAATTCAAAGAAACAGATCTTTTTATTTTTCATACTGTAGGTAAGATCAAGAAGGACCCAATGACTGAATGAAGAATCAGATGGTTGGGGTCCTGCGTTTTCCTGTGGATAGGCTCGAGAGCAGGGTATACTATTTTGGCTTAGCTCAGAACACTTTTTAACAAAAAAAGACTGATTCATAGCATAAATGGTAATTAAGGTTAACTGTTTCATAGGGAGCAGTATTAAAATGAGAGTTAAACTTAGTAGCTCACTGTGTGCATAGAAATTGAATGAAATGCCATCTACAGAGTTGTTGCTTGTCATGTAGGTCGCCTCTCTGCTAAAGGCCTGTTTGGTATTTCAGTAGGTAAATCCCTTTAATAGTATTGATCTCATGCCAAATTTCTTACGGCAATTTTGATAGAGCTGCAGCTTCAGTGTAATTATCTTGACTAAAGAAAAGATTCTTTTTTGATACAAAGCATAATCTTTTCAATTTTATATTAGTACCATATTTGATGAATTGGGGCTCCCTGTAGACTAATATACTCAGAATTTTCCTATTTATACCACTAATGTGTCACCATATGATGGCAGCTGCTCCTCACCAGCAGTCTGATCAGTACTAAAGTAGTACTATAAGATGAAAGCACTGTGAAGGAAGCATTTTTTCAATGCTTTTAAGCTTAGAGAGACGGAGGAGGACTTTGTGGAATGACTGAGATGACCAATGAAATGAGTTTTAAAGAAACAAGGGAACTTTTTAGATGACTGAGATGTTCAGAGCTTTACTGTAGAGAAAAAGCAAATGCAAAGAAACAGGCATGTAAAGAGGCCCCCATGTGTTCTAGAAACTGCCTAGAATTTGGAAAGCTATGAGATTTTAGGGGAGAGAGACAGGATTTGGAAGTGGCAGTGAAAAAACCAAGTGGCCGGCTCACTCCAGTCCTGCTGGTGCCAGAGCTGTGGGAGAGGAACGGTCTCTCCTGATGAGAGTTCTATTTGGGCAGCGGCCCCTGAAGACAGAGCACAGGGTGGCACTGAGCCCAGGGGTGCTCAGCCTTGTGCTCACTGGAATCATCTGGGGGCTTTAAGCCTAATGAAGTCTGAGTCCTACCCCCAGAGATTTTGGTGTGGGGTGAGGCCCAGGAACTGGGAGCTGTAAGAAGTTCCCCAGGTGATTCTGAAATGCAGCCAGGATTGAGAAGCACTGAATAAAGGCAAGAGGAAGGATTGTTCAGTGGAGAAGCTGAGAATATAGAGGATTTGTTGATGCTGTGCCATGAGTTCTTCAAGGGCACAGTGGAAAGCTTTCTTGAGACAGAGAGCGTGGGAAGTGGGAGGTCAGGTTAAAGGGTGTACTCAGATCCCATGAGGACAAGAACCCAGATTGTGACGATGGCCTGGGAATCTTGGGCCTGTTGTGATGACTGATGTCAGTGGTCTCAAATGACACTATGGGAAGGTCTTGCTGGAAGGACTCATCACTTTGTGCCACAGACCCTGTGTGTACTGTTGTGAAGGACTAGCCATGAACACAGATGGCTAATCTCTCGTCTAACTGGCATGCATCTAGAATCAGGTCCTTAAGGCAGTATTGAACCCAGTAGGAATATGCTGGGCATGCTGCTGTATTTTAAAGCCAGAT